TGGCCTTCTGCTGATTTTACAGACATAGGCAGCTCCAAGTTGAGATCACATATCATGATTTCATTCTATTTATTTTGCCATATTTACTGCATTCTAAGTAGAATGCAGGTTCATCAGGCATCTAAAATTGGAGCATGTAAAGCTGCGAGGTTCTAGCACTGGTCCTCTCTATTCATTGGCCACTCATAGTTGAGTTTGCTTACACGGTTTGCTCCTCATGCTGCTATACATTTTGCAACGTGAACAATTGAATGCTAGAAAAACCTGCTTTAGAACAAACTATTTTTAGATTTCTTCTTATAAAAGGAGAATAATCTATTTTCCTGTCCTGCTTTGGAGATGGTTTGCCATTGGGCTGTATTTATGCATACTCTTGGCTGGGGAATTTTGCCTTGAGGAATGTCTGACTTCATTTCTTATCTTATTTTATTTTCAGCTACAAGAATTTAACACTAAATATTTGGGATTTTAGCATCAGCAGAAAAATTGCAAGCATCAAACTACAGTCCTTAATTCCACCTGGCGTGGGGAGAGGAGTGGGGTGGAGTCATGATTCTTGGGAAATACACAGGATAGTCTACTCTACCTGATCTTGTTATTGCTGAAGTTAACGGAGACTACCAAGCGGTGGCTGGGGCTGTACTGTTGTATGGAGACCCAGCTGGGTCCAAACCAGAATGGCAAGTGCACAGACTGATCCTTCTGAGATCCCATGCATCAACAGCCTTTGGAAGTTAGTACACTGTCATGGAAAAAGCCACTGCCCGAGCCCGGAGGAGGGGAAAGCAGGCCTGAGAAATCAGGATTTGCCTGTCAGTTGGATAATACTTGTGACTGTCAGTCACAGTAGCACATTTGCTCCTCAGACTGTGCTAGGTCAGACAAACCCCTGGGGGCTCTCAGTGGGGGGCAGAGGAAGGGCTGAAAGACCATGGGGACTGCTGGCTCCACTGGCCACTGCAGCAGGGGAGATGCATGTGCCTGCAGCGTCTAGAGCCGGCAAGCCCATGTAAAGGCAGCCATGGGGCAGAGTCAGCAGCACCACGATTCCAGCCCAGCCATGTCCATTAAGAACATGAAGAGGCAAGAGTTGGATGTGGACTCCAGGGGAAGAGCAGCAATGGACTCACTGCCCCTCTGGCCATGGCTGATTGGAGACCCATGGACACTGCTCAGGAAGGAGAAGCCTGTTATGCTGACAAGCACAATGAGGGGAGGGGAGACGCAGGCTGGAAGCAGCCGGCTGAGAGCAAGTGACAATGAGCCTGTGGCTGCAATATGGCAGAGGCAGATGGGCGCCGAGCGGCAGCCCCAGTACTGGAGCTGAGAAAGCAGCCAGCAGAACAAGTTCTGTCAGGGCAGCAGAGGTGCCAAGAGGGATGCTCTTGACCTGTAACAGAGCCAGTATCTGTGCAGCCACAGCATTATCACTGACTGCTCCAGAGGGCAACCTAGAGAAGGGTGATAAGACTCAAGCTGTACTGGGGGATTTCCGGGTACAACACGCGCCGTCCGCCCTTGGAGCGCGGCAGACGCAGCTCAGCACTCGCTTGTTCCCAGGCAACTGGCGTCTCAGAGGGGTGACCACCATGCTAGGGGCTGTGGCAGAGGCTTGCGCCATTGCAGCCAGAGGGGACCTGGCTCTTGGTAGGGGTGGGGAACCTTTGTCGGGTTAGGGGCCACTGACCCACAGAAAAATCAGTTGGGGGCCATCTGCAAGTGCAAAGGAAAGAACATCCCCAACGGACATGGCCCCTGAGTGAGAGGGGAGAAAGACTCCACGTAGCTCACACCCCATAGCCCAGGGGGCCCAGGCTACTAGACTTTATGCTCCAGCCTCGCAGTGGGGGAGCTGGAGAACCAGCGCAGACTCCCCAGTGCTCGGGGTGGGCGGGACAGTTCTAGATTAGATTTTAACCAATAGGGAGGAACTGGTTGAGAATTTGAAAGTGGAAGGCAGCTTGGGTGAAAGTGATCATGAAGTCGCAGAGATCATGATTCTAAGGTATGGTAGAAGGGAGAACAGCCAATTAGAGACAATGGATTTCAGGAAGGCAGATATTGGATTTCAGGAAGGCAGATTTTGGTAAGCTCAGAGAGTTGGTAGGCAAGACTGAATAGAAAGACAACTGACAAGAGTTGGCAGTTTTTCAAAGGGACATTATTAAGGGCCCAAAAGCAAGCTATTCTGCTGTGTAGAAAAGATAGAAAATATGCCAAAAGACTGGATTAACCAGGAGATCTTGCACGATCTAAAAGTAAAAGAGGAGTCATATAAAAAAATGGAAACTAGGACAAATTACAAAGGATGAATATAGGCAAACAATGCAGGTATGCAGGAGCAATATTAGAAAGGCAAAGGCACAAAACAAGCTCAAACTAGCTACAGGCATAAAGGGAAACACGATGACATTTTATAAATATATTAGAAGCAGGAGGAAGATCAAGGACAGGGTAGGCCCATTGCTCAGTGAGGAGAGAGAAACGGTAACAGAAAACATGGAAATGGCAGAGATGCTTAATGACTCCTTTGTTTCGGTCTTCACCGAGAAGTCTGATGAAGGAATGCCTAACATAGTCAATGCTAGTGGGAAGGGGGCAGGTTTAGAAAAGAAAATAAAGAAAGGAACAAGTTACAAATCACTTAGAAAAGTTAGATGTCTGCAAGTCACCAGGGCCTGATGAAATGCATCCTAGAATATGCAAGGAGCTGATAGAGGAGGTGTCTGAGCCTTTAGCTATCATCTCTGGAAAATCATGGAAGTCGGGAGAGATTCCAAAAGACTGAAAAAGGACAAATCTAGTGCCCATCAATAAAAAGGGAAATAACCCAGGAAACTACAGACCATTCAGTTTAACTTCTGTCCTAGAAAAGATAATGGAGCAAGTCATTAAGGAAATCATCTGCAAACACCTGGAAGAGAATAAGGTGATAGGGAACAGCCAGCATGGATTTGTAAACGACAAATCATGTCAAACCAATCTGATAGCTTTCATTGATAGGATAATGAGTCTTGTGGATAAGGGAGAAGCAGTGGACGTGGTATACCTAGACTTTAGTAAGGCATTTGATACAGTCTCGCATGATATTCTTATCAATAAACTAGGCAAATACAACATAGATGAGGCTACTATAAGGTGAATGCATAACTGGCTGGATAACCATTCTCAGAGAGTAGTTATTAACGGTTCACTATCCTGCTGGAAAGGCATAACAAGTGGGGTTCTGCAGGGGTCTGTTTTGGGACCGGTTCTGTTCAATATCTTCATCCACTACTTAAATATCGGCATAGAGAGTCTGCTTATTAAGTTTGCAGATATACCAAGCTGGGAGGGGTTGCAATGATTTTGGAGGATAGGGTCATAATTCAAAATGATCTGGACAAATTGGAGAAATGGTCTGAGATAAATAGGATGAAGTTTAATAAGGACTAATGCGAAGTGCTCCACTTAGGAAGGAACAATCAGTTTCACACATACAGAATGGGAAGCGACTGTCTAGGAAGGAGGACAGCAGAAAGGGATCTAGGGGTCCCAGTGGATCATAAGCAAAATATGAGTCAATAGTGTGACACTGTTGCAAAAAAAGCAAACATGATTCTGGGATGCATTAACAGGTGTGTTGTGAACAAGACACGAGAAGTCATTCTTCCGCTCTGCTCTGCGCTGATTAGGCCTCAGTTGGAGTATTGTGTCCACTTCTGGGCACCACATTTCAAGAAAGATGTGGAGAAATCGGAGAAGGTCCAGAGAAGAGCAACGAGAATGATTAAAGGTCTAGAGAACATGACCTATGAAGGAAGACTGAAAGAATTGGGCTTGTTTAGTTTGGAAGAGAGAAGATTGAGAGGACTCATGATAGCCGTTTTCAGGTGTCTAAAAAGGTTGTCACAAGGAAAGAGGGAGAAAATTGTTCTTCTTGGCCTCTGAGGCTAGGACAAGAAGCAATGGGTTTAAACTGCAGCAAGGGAGGTTTAGGTTAGACATTAGGAAAAAGTTCCTAACTATCGGGGGGTTAAACACTGGAATAAATTGCCCAGGGAGGTTGTGGAATCTCTATCTCTGGAGATATTTAAGAATAGGTTAGATAGACATCTATCAGGGATGGTCTAGACAGTGCTGGGTCCTGCCATGCAGGCAGGGGACTGGACTCGATGACCTCTCGAGGTCCCTTCCAGTCCTAATATTCTATGATACTTTAGAAGCCAACACCAAACCCGCATCACAGAAAGGTGAATATTCACAAGGTAGCAGGTACCATTCATTCCTTAGACGACTGTTCCACATCTCCCCGTGACAGACACTGCGATGGTCACGTGCATCTCAGATTCACACTCCTTTCTCTGTGCTATGCTGACTCAAGACACGGGACCTGCTGGCCCAGCCTTTGCTGACTGATGTTGGAGAATTAGGACTGGGGATCCATCGGGGCTGAGGAGGATTTCCCTGTAGCGAGGAGCAAGGGAAATCAGCACAGAGGGTCCGTCCCAGAGCAAGGAGCGGGGGAACTGGGGCATAGCAGAAAGAGGTCTCCAGCCCGTACGTGAGGCGGCAAGTCCTTGTAGCACACTGCCAGGGATAGTGGGGAAAGCAGGGCTTGTTCCCGGGAGCAAGGAGCCAAAGCCTGGACAATTGGCAGATAGCAGGAGTCAGTCCCTAGAGTGGGGGTGGGGCTGAGGCAAGAAGAGGCCGATCTCTGGAGCAGCTGTATCCACCCCCCTGTATCCACCCCCCATTCTGTCTTGCTGTGCTTGTCACCCCAGCCCTCTCAGCAGAGAGCGGTACTTCCATGGTGCTACATGCTGCTGCTGCTGCTCTTCTTAGCTTCCAGTGGCAGATGCTCTGGAACCTTTTTTTTGGGGGTGGGGGGGAAGTGAGGGTTGCTGAGCTACACCCCCATCACTGCCCCTGGCAGGGGGTCACCACCGGGGCTACACTCACACTCCAGGTCCCCACCCAAGAGTTCCTTTGTTCAGGTCTTTCCCGGGTTCTCTCTTCAGGAGCTCCAGATCAGGTCTCTGACAAGATGGCACCTCGACATTTCCCTGCCTGGACCTTCTACCCTGGGATACAAAGCAGCCTTAAGGAAGTGAATTTCCTATCAGCGTGGTGGAAGGTACGGCACAGCCTCCGCCCCACAGTTAGATGTTACATCAACGCATTGTACTCTAAACCAGAACTACCCTGGCCAGCTACAAAAGGGTGTATCTTAGGTTCCCAAGGAAGTAACAGGCAGCATTAAGCCAACTACTATGAAAATACACACTGCACATTCTAAGCTAGTGTCACACAGAAAAAGGTTACAAGTGATTTCTCACCCTAGTTATTGTTTCAGGCCCAGTCCTTCGTAGGCCAGGTAACTTCTAGCCAAGGTGTCTCACCTCCCAAGTTCCAACCCTTGTGTCCCGATGTTCTCACGTATTTCTTTGGGGTGGGAAGGCAGAGGTAAAACATTGTTTTCCTCTCCCACCTTAGGTAGAATTTCCATAAGGCAGGAAACCTTAGTGTGACTCCCCTACTCTGTCAAACAAATGACCAGTCCCGGATGCAGGTTAGTAGCAGGTGACCAGGTCACCTGATTGTGTCCCGGAGTCAGTAGCAGCATGAAGTGCTCCCCAAAAGGGCCAGCCTTTTCAGTCCATTGCACTAGCCACAGCCACTAGTCCTCTCTGGCTGCTCCACTGTAGCCCCTGAAGGGCCAGCAGCGAGCGAGACCCGACGCAGCAAATACGAAGTACAGGCGAGAGGAGACATGCTATGAATGGGAAAAGCCTGTTCAGTCACTCGGACCCTTTTCAGGGGCAGCTCACAAGCCACCTTGCACGAGGCAGCTCAGCCGCGTCACATTCGTATCACAAGTGCATTTTCACAGGGCCCATAGAATGCCACAGTCACACCTCCATGCCAGCCGGCTGCAGGGGCTTCTGCTCAGCCACGCCTCTGTGACTGCCTGTCCTACCCCTGCCCCTCATGGGATCCACCCTCCACCAACCCTCTTGCTCTGGGCTCAGCTTCCCCATAGCAGGCTGACCATGCCTTGGCTTAGCAGCCTCTGCACAAGCTCTGGCTTACCTCACCCAGGGCTCTCGTCACTGCTAATTCCTCCCACCCCCCTCATGGCCTGTAGGCAACTCTCCCACGGCCTCCCTTCCTGGCTGACTCTCCCATTTATACAGCCCCGGTGCCTTCCCTTAAAACCAATTGGGAGGCAGCTAATCTTCCCAGGTGCACAGGACCTGCTCCCTCTTAGGGTATGTCTAGACTACAGGCTTTTGTCGACAGAAGTTTTGTCGACAGTATCTGTCAACAAAACTTCTGTCGACAAAGAGCGTCTAGACACATTCAGTTCTGTCGACAAAGCAAGCTGCTTTGTCGACAAAAGCCTGTAGTCTAGACACAACCCTACATGCAATAACACCTTCTGTCGACAGAACTCTGTCGACAAAAGGCGTTATGCCTCGTAAAATGAGGTTTACCAGCATCGACAAAACTGCTGAGTTCTGTCGACGTTATGTCGACAGAACTCAGCAGTAGTGTAGACGCAGGTATAGTTTTGTTAACAAAAGTCCACTTTTGTCGACAAAACTCTGTAGTCTAGACACACACTTAAAGAGGACTGCCATCCGGCAAGCTCCACCAGTGTCCATGGATTCTCCACCTTTCCCCTGTCAGACAGGCCATCCAGTGGTTCTCCCAGCCTCCCCAAGGCCTAATGACTGAATCCTCTTCCACTGCGGCCTGTCAGCCCCTCCCAGCTGTAGCCCTGTGTCGTGGCGCAGCCTCGCTGCCACGGTTGGAGCCTAGGTTCCAAGCCCCAGTGCCAATGCCAGGTGAAGCATGTTTGCTGCCCTGGAGTGAGCTCACCTGTGATGCATTCCCGACAACTGAGTCAACCTGCAGTGAAAGAAGTGGCCAGCAGGTCCTGCCCTGAGCAGGGGTGTGGCACAGGGACAGGCACAGGGACAGGGTGTTCAGTTGTGTGTGGTTAGAAAGTTGGCAACCGAGGAGGAGCAGCCACTTTCAGGAGTCAGGGGAGCCCTGGAGCCCCTTCTCTCCCTCTGAGGGCCAGCAGCAGCAAGAGGCCACAGCTGCCTTTCCCACTGGAATGGGGCCAGGGGGCCCCTGGCTAGCTGAGCGATGGTGGGGGTGCCATCTCCATGCACTCCGACACCTCCTGCACGTGGTGCCTGTGGCCATCCAGAGCTCAGCCTGGGGAGCTGCATCCCTCCTCCATCAAGGGCTGACACAGCCAAGCTCAGAAAAGAGCTGTTTTACCTTGGGCAGGTACCAAGTGTCCCTCATCACTGCAGTAGCCGAGTGTTCCCCCCCTCCCCCCCCCGCAGCATTGCTTTGCTCCAATGTTTTGGATTTCTTCCCGGAGGGCCAGGCCCCATGGGAAGTAAAAGTCAAAAGTGATGGGTATTATGGGAAATGACATGCAGCGTCCAAAGTGGTTTACAGCTGCAGCCACTGACAGGATCTAGGAAAAAACCGTCTGCTCCTCAATAGCGTGATGCAAAGCGAGGGGCCGCGGTCACTGGAACAGAAATAAGCTGCTGCCCTTTTGCCCATGTGGGCTAATGAGGGGGTTGAAGACAAAGCCTCAGAGACATTAGCCTGTATACATTTACACAGCAGCATGGCCAGCACTCAGGGAGGGTCACCGTGGGAACCAAACCTGATGAATAAACTATAAAGACAAACTAATCCCCCCACAAGAAAAGGTTTTATGTAAAAACCTAGGCACCAGTGGGATTAGTTTGAGGCTGGGACAAGCTATGAGCTGATTGGCAGAGGTCTGGAAATCCCCCCTCCACTTACTGTTAGAACCTTTACACGAATCAGCAGCTTATGGTCTTAAAGAATGTCTGGGAATATTAGACAAAATTGAATTCACAAAAGTTATTTCTGGGCAGTCTTTAAAAAAGACGGGGGAAGTTGTCAGACAGTTTTGGCTCTTAGTTTGCTAAAGTCCTATGTGAGAAGGGCAAAATTATAATGCTAATTTCCTTTAATCCTCCAGTCCTCTGCTGCCAAATTTGGCATGGGAACAAGGAATACAAGAAGTTTGACAGGTGCCTGGTTCTACACATCAAAGGAGGATGAAATAAAAATGAGTTAGAATTGAGATTTCAATAATATTACAAATCAGCTGATTTTTACTGCTGATATCTTTAACAAACCTAACCAAAATAGTTAAATTGGTACCAAATCGCGTGTGGACCTAGCTTTATGCTTTTTAGTGATATACCTAGCAGCAACGACAGATACGTAGGTGCACAGGAAGGAGCTCTTCCTCCCTATTAAACTATGTCATGATCTTAGCAGCAGTCCATGTCTACACTGTATCACGAGATGTCCTAATGCTCGGGGCACCCCTCGTTGCTCCCCATAAAATACAGCCCCTAATGTCAGGGCTAGCTCAGCCTCTTGGACTTTGTTCCAAATCAGGTTCACCCCCTATTAGGGTAAATATGGCCACTGGGGCCTAGTCACCAGTCTAATGCACCCTTATTAGGATCAATACAGCCACTTGGGCCTAGTCCCAAATCCAGTCCACCCCATTAGGGTAAATACGGCCTCTGCAGCCTAGGCACAAACACAGCCCCACTCCCTCAGGGTACGGACGCCCTTGCAGGCCTGGTTCACTGGACGGCCTCCTGACGAGCCTGGGAGTGGGGGTGCTGTGGGGTGCGGGCAGTAGGTGGACCCGAGCCCTCCCTCTCCCCCGGGTCCCAGCCTAGGGCCCTGTTGGCGGCAATACCACACGCTGCCTGCTCAGCAAGGATTCCACCGCCCTGGGCTCCTTCCTACGTCCCTGAGCATCGTTCCAGTCTCGTGCCTGTTGGGCCGGGTAGCGGTCCTCCCGAGGCAGGGCTGTCAGTGTGGCTGCGGCAGGGGCTGCTGCTCCTGGGGCTGTGGTGGCAGCAGGGTCAGCTGCAGCAATAGCTGATCAGGAGCCCCTAACCGAGCCCCTTCCCCTCCAGCTGTCCACCTCAACAGCCCTGTGCATCCCTCTTTTATCCCAGCGCAGCTGGAGCATGCCCAGCAGGCTACTGGGGGTGTGGCCTCATCTACCCGAAGGCTATGTCTACACTGGCGATTTCTTGCGCAAGAATGGCTGTTCTTCCGCAGATCGTCCACACTGCCCGCCTGCTCTTGTGCAGGAAGAGTTACAGTAAAGCGTGGGAAGAGAGGGCTTCTTGCGCGAGAGCTTGCTCTTGCATCTGACGAAGTGGGTCTTTGCCCACGAAAGCTTCTGCTCCAACACTTCGGTTAGTCTATAAGGTGCCACAGGACTCCTCGCCGCTCTTTTTAACAAGCGTAAGCTCTCTTGCACAAGAGGGCAATGTGGACGCGTGGCAGGGGTTTCTTGCACAAGAAAGCTCTAAAGCTAAAATGGCCATCAGAGCTTTCTTGTGCAAGAGAGCGTCCACACTGCCATGGATGCTCTTGTGCAAAAGCACATGGCAGCGTGGATGTGTTCTTGCGCAGGAACCCACCAGTGTAGACATAGCCTTCGAGTTGAGTTACGCCTTTGCGGTCTAGTGGGGGGGAGACTCACCCCGTCACACTTTTCCGTTCCAGTTTTGTTGATGATCAGAAAGTGCTAAAAGGAAGTTTTTGTTGCATGTTCACGCTGTCTTCTTCTGTTGGCATAAACAACAAGTCTGGTGACAGCTTATGAATTCCAGCTCCGCACTTTGGCATAGCACATCCATACTTGAGGCAGTGGCATCAACAGTGAGAACAATGCCCTATGGGCAGCTAGCCCCCAGTTCAGCCTCTGGCCTTCTGCTTCTAGGTCTTGTAGGAAGGAGGAGGAAGAGGGGATCACAGCACATCATGGCTCTGAGCTCAGTGTCCCATGATGCACTGCTTCTGTCCCAGAATTCCATGTGCATCCATCTTTGGCACGTTTCAACATTCCCTTTTTGCTGCTCACCTCACAGCTGTGCTGAATCTCGTTCCAGAGCTCCAGTGCTGTGACTGCCAGGAACCCAGCCCTGGGGCATACAAGAGATCATGCTTGGTGTCACGATCCACCTTATGTAGCTGGGCAACAAGCAATCTTGGCTCTGGAGCGTGACACACTTCCCTACTGTGGGGATCTGTGCATCCCTCTGCCTGCACTACGGTGGCACCTGTGCTCTTAGACTGACTGCTCTTCTTCCTGCTTGGGTCTCAGGCCTGGGAGTTGCAGCTGCAGCTGCTGTCAGTCCCGAAGGTGGAGGGTCCTGGCCACATGTATGAATAGTTGTGTTTGCAGACCAGAGCGGGAAACTCCCAGAGGAATGGATTCTAATTTCCGAGTATTTTGGAATACATTGCTGAGGCTTGTTTGTTTCTTTTCCACTCAGTTTAGAAAGCTAGGGATAGACTCTCAAGTCTATTCATTGCCCGGGCTATTTGATGGGTTGTGGCATCTGAAGTGTTTGTAGAGGACTCTTGTCATTCTATCCCCACCTCCAATATTAATCAATACCTGTTTGTACTATTGTCAAGCTGTACTGCTGACATGGCTGTTACAGGACACTAACTATAGCATTAAACATGCAATTCTTGCATGTGCATGACACAAAGCTTGTAGGACAATGGGCAGATCGCTATCTCGGCTAGTCCACCAGATTCCCACAAAGCGTACTAAGGGATAGCCTGAGGAGGCCTGAACACCAGGAAAGTTTAACTCACGTTTCTCTCCCGTGTTCAGACACAATCGTATAATAAAGCATCTAACTGGTTACTCACACACTCAGAACACAGCTTAAGCAACAACAGTGCGCTCGGACCTCACGTAACAAGGACACCTGCTGCACCACATGTGTTGTCATCTCTTACTGCTGACTGTGGTGCAGGGCTCCTGAGGTGCCCTTCGTTACTGTGTTGACGCCCATTTTCCACCCTTCACGTGGCTGGCTTTTAGCATAAGCTTGGTGTGCATTTTACACTTCACACAGCATCCCATGAAGGTTCCACAGGCGCTAGGAGGAAATGGGGAGTCTAGGGAGTTCGGGGGAGGGGTGTGTTGCATACAGGGGGGCACTCAGTGCCCTGAACTTACTGGTTTAATGTGACAATGGGGGAGGGGGGGGAGTTTGTTGTTTCAGAGAATAGCCCAGAACTGGAGCCAGGCGTCTGGTACCCTGGTGACCCGGGCCCTGCTCAGAGGACACAGCAGGTTCCAGCCAGACAACAGACAAGGGGCTGCAGGGAGGGACCCTGGCAACTGGCCCAGCTGGTCCCAGCGACAGGAGAACACTGGACAGGGGAGGGGAAGAGAGGGGTGGGGAGGGAAGGGGAGGCAGAGAAGAGAGAGGCCCAGACCACCCTGTTACCTGGAGAGAAGACAATGGACAGGGGAGGGGCTGGTGCTGGGATACTGGGGGCTAGAGGGGACCCCCCCCAGGGCTCACGGCAGAGGCAGGGGGCTGGAGGCCCTGAGAGGCCAGGCTGACTGCTGTGTTCAAAGCTCAACAAACCCTCCTGTTTGGGGCCGGCTGGGGGTCGCTCTGGTCTGGAGAACAGCGGGGCTATTCCCCCTGGGAGGGGAGGCCCCGGGGGCCAGAGAGAGGGGACCCCCCCCAGGGCTCACGGCAGAGGCAGGGGGCTGGAGGCCCTGAGAGGTGCCGTCCTGGAGGCGGAGGGGCAGACACCCCAGGGGAGAGGGGCCCCCCGAGAGAGGGTCACTGCACTGGAGTGGACTCCCCAACAAGGGGCCATACCACTGCCACTGGGCTGGAGGGGGCTCCCCGGGAAGGGGTCGTCCCACTGCCGCTGGGCTGGAGGGGGCTCCCCGGGAAGGGGCTGCTGCACTGGAGGGGGGTTCCGCCAGGAGCCGAGGGCCAAGTGTGGCTCCGCCCGTGGGCCAGGGCAGACGCAGAGGGATGGTTTCTACCCGAGGCAGGGCCTCGCTACGCAGACACAGGGCTGGTTCTCAAGCAGAGAGCATCTTGAGAGGGTTGGTCGCTACTGAGGGGTACTGCACAGGTCCCACACACCAGAAAGGTGGACTCCAGAGCAGAGTTTAGCTGCTTTTGCGGAAAAACTTGCCAGTCTAGACGCAGCCCATCAGAGACGCAGAGGGATGGTTTCTACCCGAGGCAGGGCCTCGCTACGCAGACACAGGGCTGGTTCTCAAGCAGAGAGCATCTTGAGAGGGTTGGTCGCTACTGAGGGGTACTGCACAGGTCCCACACACCAGAAAGGTGGACTCCAGAGCAGAGTTTAGCTGCTTTTGCGGAAAAACTTGCCAGTCTAGACGCAGCCCATCAGTGGCTAGAAATTGAAGCTAGAGCTTTAAACTGAAAACCGTAATGGCGATGGTGATTACTCATTAGACCAGATCCCGAGGAATCTGTCTCTGCAAGCCAGGGTGGCTGTTCTTATAAGCCAGACTAGTTCAGCCGTAGGTCTCTGGGTGACAGACTTGTGCCTATGTTGTGCAGGAGGTTGGATTAGAGCAGTGTTTCCCAATTTTATTTGGCCATGGAACCCTTTTAAACTCAAAGGAATTTTGCAGAACCCCTAATAACAGTCTTATATATGGAGCTAAAAAGTAGACCACCAATAAGTAAGGATAATAATAAACAAATGCGAAACAAGGTCACGAGCTCAACATTTAGTTTAATTGCACATATTTAAAAACAAAAATCACATTTAATGTGTACAACAAATAAAGCTCAAAAACGAATATGCATAAAATGTTATTGGAAGGGCATGTTCTCACAGGTCGCGGGGTTCCGCGGAACACCCTTTGGGAAACACTGGACTAGAGGATCTTCATGGCCCCTGCCACAGTTCGGGCTGGCCCTTATGGGACCTGTGCCGGCAGGGGAGGGGAAGAAAGCACCTTGCCTCCCTGCCAGTGCAGAGCTGCCTGAAGACATGGGTGCAGCACAGACAGACCCGAGAGCAGTGTCCTAATCAGATGCCCTGCCGGGAATATGCAAACCCAGGCCACCTTTCTGTGCTCAGTGCAGCAGAGGATGGGCCTAGCGGGGGTGGGGTGATCTGTTCCTGCTCTGAGCAGCTGATGCAGCGGGGGTCAGAGCAGGCCAGCATGTCTGCAGGGAATCCAAACGCACTCAGAAAATTATGCAGATGCACCAGACAGGCTTCAGGCTCGCTAGGAGTCTGCTGAGCAAAGCCACTGCCCTCCCGAAGCACAGAGGGGAGAGACGTCACAGCCAGCGATGGCTGCAGATTTCAGGGAGCGCAGACGCTGTGGCCCAGTGCCAGTGAGGAGTTGGGCGTGCGCCCAGGCCACGGCTCTGCTGGACTCCCCTCCTGCAAGGGCTCACGCTATTCACTGAGATTTTCAATGTAAGAAAAAGATGCCCTGCAAGAGCTCTGGGCTCCCCAGCATCACGGACCCTGCAGCCGTGCTGCTGAGATTTCACACTCACGCCAGCAGGCCCCCAGCCAAACGCCTACAGAAACGCCTTTCACCTCTTCATTGTTCTGGGAAGCAAAAAAACCTGCTCCCAGCGAGGCCGCTGTGCAGAGGCCTCCAGCCCCCTGCTGCCCAGGACTGCCCCCGGCCGGCCTCCCTCAGCACCCTGCCTGTCCCTGCCTGTGGGATCAGGCCCTAGGCTGTAAGTGCTTTGGGCAGGGACCATCTTTTTGCTGAGTGTGCGCAGCGGAGGCCGGGGCACAGCACTAAGACAAGCACACGCACCTCTCTCCGTACACCTTCAGGAACTCTTGTAG